GCCACTGTGTCTTCTCTGTGGGATAGTAACTCCCTGCATAGAATCAAGGTGCTGGGGGAGCAGGCAGCAGCAAGAGACCTGCAAAGCCCACAGTCACAAACACGCATCACTTGCGGCAGTCTCTGAGCTGGCAAAGACTTTCCAGCTACAGGTTCACCATAAAGCCTGGAACATCCAAGTCGGGAAGATTTCATTGCTGTTTATCAGGGAGAGGAAAAGCATGATGTGTGCATGAGATAGTATTTACACTCAAGTAACAACCCTGGGTCCCAGTGAGCAGACACATAAGGGGTATCGCTACTGGGACACTCACCTGCAAGGGTGAATCCTGCACTGTGCCTCCCATTCCCATGAAAACCCGCCAGAGGAGGTGGAGCTGAGCAGGCTGAGGACTGAAACCAGCTGCCATTGCTTGGTGGAGCTGATCTCACCTTCTGCTGCAGCCACCCCATTCCCTGCACCACTTACACAGGTAGAACAACCTTCATAGAACCATGAAATCCCAGCTGGTTTGTGCTGAAGGGACCTTAAAGCTCCTCCAGCTCCAACCCCTGCCATGGGCAGGGACCCCTTCCACTGGAGCAGCTTGCTCCAAGCCCCTGTGTCCAACTTGGCCATGAACAGTTCCACTTTGCCACTGCGTGGGCTGGAACCCCTTGTCCTCCCCAACAGCCCCTGCTAGAAAGTCTCCCCCCATCTCTCACAGGAAAGGTCCCTTTTAAGTACTGAGAAGCTGCAGCAAGGTCTCCCCAGAGTGCTCTCCAGAACAGAGAGGTAACATCATTTCTCTAATGTTTGTTGACTTATGTCCAGAATGTGCAACTCAACAGCTGAGGAACGCACCGTCTCTGTTCATGCTGCATTACACAGGAGCGCACACGTTACAATCCGCGCCATCGGAACAAAGGTAGCAGGAGCCTCAGCCATACCCACTGCAGCCCTGTAGCAAAATTGAAGTCCCTTGAACATTTGATGGGCTCTGGTGATGACAGCATTTGCACTGGGCTGATGGCTCAAACTCATGTGATCTTCAGAAGTTACAGCATTTAATTAGCATTAATAACAAAAATGATAGCAGCCAACAGGAAAAGCAGGATGAGAGCATCTGCCCTGAAACACGGCAGGGGGGAGAGGGAGGGTTAAAAAACCCCACAATATTCTGAGTTATTAACAACCAAAGAAATAACCTTCTGGAGCAATATCCAATAAGGAGCAGCTGCCTCTTCTCCTTGGGGTGAAAGTCACTTGGTACTTTTGCACCTCAAAACATTTTGACTTTGATGTGGTGTAAAACCCTCTTCACTAGACAGGCTCCTTTCTGTGCATTTTCTAAGCGACTAAATCCTAGCACTCCATTTTGACTTTTATTGCTTTTCAGAGAGCTATATAATGATTCATCATTACTGTAATCTTTAAGCAGCTTTGTTCCTATTTGTTGCTATATATATTAAATAGAAATTGCTCTTTGAATTCACCTCTAAAGTCAGCCTCAATTTTTCATCTAACAAGAATGGTATCTCCAGTCACCATCTGAATGCAGCAAAGTGAGAAAACCTTTTGCATAATATAAATATCTGCATTCACAGAGAGGAGGCTGATGCCACCACCTACTGTGAATGCATTTTATAAGTGGTACAAAGGCAGAGAGATTTCAAATGCGGTAGCACATTCTCTTAAAGACACTCCAGACACCATCAGGAAGGCACAGTTTTATCTCAACATCTTTTGGACCCCAGGCTTTGATCGCCAGGAGCTGGTTTAGAACCTGCTTCCAAATTCTAAATTTCAAATCAACTATTTCTTCCCCAAAAGGCTGCCCAGGGCAGTGGTGGAAGTGTTCACAGACAGGGCCCTTGGTGACTGTCATGGTTTAAAAAACATACCTGTCAGCTGCTTATTGGTGCCATTCCTATCACATCATAGAATCATCAAAGCAACCAGGATGGAAAAGACCTTTAAGATTAACAAGTCCAACCATTGCCCCAGCACTGACAAGCCCACCACTAATCATGTCACTAAGGGCCTCACAGGGATCCCAGCACCACTGCTGCCAGGTCACTGCTGGGCCCAGGTACCATCATGCTTAGCTGCATCTTGCAGCAGAGCATCAACAGGCCACATGGAGAAGAGCCCAGCCCTTGCTCTAGGAGATGGGTCCATCAGGCAGAGGAAGGGACCAGCCCAGCGAATGTGAAACGCAGCGCTGACCACCCCATTTACACACAGAACCCCAGCCTGCTTTGGGTTGGAAGGGGCCTCAAAGCTCCTCCAGCTCCAACCCCTGCCACAGGCAGGGACCCCTTCCACTGGAGCAGCTTGCTCCAAGCCCCTGTGTCCAACCTGGCCTTGAGCACTGCCAGGGATGGGGCAGCCACAGCTTCTCTGGGCACCCTGTGCCAGCACCTCAGCACCCTCACAGGGAAGAGCTTCTGCCTAATTTTAAACCTCTCCGTTATTAACTCCAGCAAACAGCTCTTAACTTCCACATAATTAGAGATTAATGCAAAACTTCATTACTGACAAGAAAGGCTGCTGTAGAAGCAATCAGTAGTTCAAATGTCCTGGTTTGATTTCCCAAGTGGATGAGAGTCCACAGTAAGGCTCAGATTCTCATCTGCTGCTATAGACCAAAGCACATGCAAACACACTCCAACGTTTTCCTGTTTTCATATAATCACAGAACCACAGACTGGTTTGGGTGGGAAGGGACCTTCAAAACTCATCCAGTCCAACCCCTGCCATGGGCAGGGACATGTTCAACCAGACCAGGCTGATCAGAATCACATCCAGCCTGGCCTGCAATGTCTCCAGGGATGGGGCAGCCACCACCTCTCTGGGCACCCTGTGCCAGTATTTTACCACCCTCACTCTACAAAGGCTCTTCCTCATGTCCAGCCTCAATCTCCGCCCTTTAGTTTAAACCCATCACCCCTCGTCCTGCTGCAACAGCCCCTGCTGAAAAGTCTCTCCCCATCCTCTCATAGCCCTTTTATGAGCTTGCTGGAAGAGGGGCACCAAGATGACCAAAACAGCTGCTGGTCAGCAAGCACCACATTAATTTGAGATTATGTCTGGGAGTAGCATCTTTAACCCAGGCAGTTCTCATCTCCATTCTGCCTGTGTGCAAACAGCAGTGACCGGGATGTGCTTTCTAGTGTTTCCTGCACGGCCAAATGAGTTATTTAATGCTCACCACCCTTTATAAGTGCTCTTTTAAGGGGAAGTCATCCACAGGATTTGCACTGCTATTACAAAGGTGCCACTCCACCAGGTGTTGTTTTCACCTCGAAAATGAAGCTGGGGGATCATTCTCTTCCTTGTGCCCAGCTCTACCTACTATGTGGGTGAGAAGGGATCCCCATTCCCAGGGTGGAGAGGAGCAGTTACTCCCTGGGCATCATCGAAGCCTCCATCTCCAGCAGGGCTTGTGGCTCCTCAATTCATACACAGCAGCAAACCCACCCAAGACGCAGGAGCAAGACCCAGTTCTGCTCCTCTGTCTCCACCACAGAGGTTGGGCAGAGCAGCAGGGGTTTCCTAGACAGGGTCCCAAAGAAGGATGCACAAGCTGCAGAAACAGAGCAGCCCATTCATGCCTGCATTTGGGCCCAAATTACAGCCAAAATGGGGGATTCTTCTCCAGCCTTCCCTATAAGGTCTGTCAGTGCCGAGTCAAGCGCAGCACAACAGCCCTGGGGAGGTGGAGGAGGCAGTAAGAAATGCTCTGACCAAACTGCTCAGATACATTGCAGTCAGGAAGCCCTGACTAAAGCCAGCAGAAGTGACTAACTTGTTTTGCAGTGCTGATGACAGTCCTGCTCTTTTCCTGAAGAGCAGTTGTTAGTGACACATTCGTGCTGCCAGGATGCCACAGCAACACTTCTGGAAGTGTCACACAGCAATGGCACTGCCGGCTGTGCTAGCTCCATAGATCTGCAATGACAGAAACACGCACAAACCCCTCCCTGCATGATCCAGGTACGGAACCTGGGCAGTGCCAGGGTCTGCGCTCACGTGCTCAGGAGCCACCGTGCAGACACACGTGTGGGGCAGCCAGCAGAACTAAACCAGAGGTATCCAGCATCCAGCACCCTGGTTTTCCAGGGGAAATTGTCTGAAAACTTCCCTTTCAGCTTGACCTTTGCAGAGCAAAGCTCCCACCGGGGAGCTCAAGACAACACGGAAAAGCACGTCCCGCCAGTGAGAGAGGGAGAGCATCGGCTGCTATGGGTTTTGTTAGGGATCCCCCAAGGAAAGCACCTTCCCAAACAAGCCTAAGGAATTCTGATGGCAGTTTTTCTCTCCCGGGAGCTGGTGCAAATGCCCTGAAGCCAAGTGTGCAGAGGTGGTAAAGCAGTTAGAGATGAGCAAAACTCCTGTCCACAGAGCTGGGAAAGCAAAAACCCCAGAAGCCACTCACGCACAGGCTGCTTCCGAAGCCAATCCCCTTCTCTACTTCCAAACACTCAGATCAACCCTCAGGACATCGAGATTCCCTCTTTCTCAGGGAAAAGCACCTCTTTGCTTCCTTTGACTGTAATTTCACTCCTCCGAAAGCCACCTCCTCCCTGCCGCAGCGTTTTCTCTCGGTTGGGTGTCCTCTGTCCTCCCCACGTCCGCGGGAGCGGAATGAAGGGACCTGTAGAGTGCACTGTGTCCCTCCTTCCGAGCCAAGCATAGCCCAGTCCACTGCGGCCAACCCCTTGCAAAGGTCATCTGCCAGGAAGAAGCAAACCCTCCCAGGTGCATTCCACACAGACCCAGGCAAGTTTGTCTCAGTTAAGTGCCACAACTTTATTGCCAGGCACAAAAGGTATCACTTGGGTATCCTTTGCTGTCCCCTCCCTGCTGCACACACACACACATTCCTGTCTGGCATTAGGCTGCAAATTAAAGCCTGTTCCCACTGGCAGATCTCTTTAATTCCATAGTCCAGGCAGAGGACAGGAACGCATCCCTCGGCAAGGATCACGGCACATTGCACAGGCAGCAGCACCTACCTCAGTGAGCTGACAGACCCAGCACAGCAACATAATTCCTCTTGGATGGAGACATTTCCCCAGCTCAGATCACTGGGGCTCTGCTGCTGTGCCCGGTGCCTCGGACACACCAGGACAGCATCTTCTGTGAGCAGCACAGCATCCCTCACACACCGACCTGCAGCGCGGCAGCCGGGAGAGCAGCAGCAGTTGAATTGCTGCACATGTATCTCTGCAGATTATTTCCTGCTCCAACACTTGGCGTAAAGGCAGATGCTCTTAACCCTCTGGAGGCCTGCGCCTCGGTCCCCCCGCGGCAGGGGCGAGCGAGCAACTCCGGATACCCTGCGGTGAGGCGGGAGGGAGATAACCGGAGACACCCAGGGCATCCTCCGGGCAGCAGCAGTCCTGACCTCGAGTGAGCTGCAGTCACTCTGGGCTCAGGGAGCCGGCCATGCCCCCGGCAGCCCACAGCACCCCCGTGCCGGCGGCTCCTGCTGCACCACCGCTGCCCCGGGGCCCGCAGCAGAGCCGGACCCGCGCTGGAGGAGGTGGCAGGGGCAGGGGTGAGGAGGGAGCGCGGCGGCGTCACCAGCGCCCGGGCACAGCGGGCTCCTGCTCCGGGCAGCGCGGCCCCCGGCCCCCGGCGCTGCCCATCACCGGCGGCAGCTCCAGCGCGGCTCCCGCTCCTGCCTGCGAATGTGACTGGAAAGCATGGCTGAAAAACATGTTACAATTAACAGGAGGGAGGGAGATACTATTGCTCTCCTGCTAGTCTTAAAGGCACATCGCTCACATGTGCGGGCTGGAGGAGCAAACACCCGCACCTCCAGCATCCAACCTGCATGCAGGCAGGCAGGCAGCCTGTGCAGGAGCCCTGCCCGGGTCAGGGCAAGGAGAGCGCCCCGGGAGCCAGGAAGGGACGGGGCAGCGTGCAGGAGAGCTCCTGCACCAGGGAGTGAGGCCTCCCACATCCCCACCTCTGTCCCAGAAGCAAAATCAGGTCCGGGATACACAGCCCAAATGTTTACCCTTGTTACTGGCCCCTCTGGGAGCATCCCAGCCTGGTCACTGCTGTGCCACGTCCCACACACAGCCCTGCCATCACCTCTGGCAGACACGGAGCACCTGGGACACACCAGGGGCATGGAGCATGCCCTGGCAGGAGAGCCAGGTTAGTGGCATGGCTCCCATGGGAGGTGCTACTGCACTAGCAGCAGGGACACTGCACCCTGGTGTCACCCAGAAAGGATGCCCCTTCTGCAACTCAGAGCCAGGAGCTACACGACACTGAGCTGAGATTCACTGTGCCACATGTGATGAGTTCAGCAGGTCTCAGACTGGCTGCAGTATCTGATGCTCCAGCTACCCCTCTCCTGCAGGGGGCTGCGCACCACCTGAAAGCCACGCTCTCTCTTTTCTGCCCCTGATACCCTCTTGCGTGTGCCTTGGGATGCTCTGGCTGGTGCTGGTCCTTCAGTGTGTCACAGTTTGGATTCATCAAGGATAATGCCAACAGCTCCACCCCACACTGAACTTTCCCCTACCCCTGAAGCACCCTCTGGAAGTCTGTCACACAGGGAATTAATGCTATTAAACATCTCTGCTTTGCCCTCAGTGGTAGCTGCTGCTACACACAACCTGCTTTTCTGAGCAGGACGAAGCTCCAGACCTTGTTAAACCGTTCTGTGTCACGCAGCATCACATTAACACCTTTTATTCCCCAAGCCCACGGGAGGCACCAGAACTGTCCTGACTGATACCTGTCCCCATCACCAGGAGGGCAGCTACCAGCAGCACGGACACCTGAGCCTGAGCTCAGTGACAAAACCACTGCCTCACCACAGCGATCTGCAAGTTAAGTGTAGTGTAAGTGCAGGCTTTTCTGAGAAATACCCTGAAAGAACAAGTACAGACTCGATACCGTGAACGCAGAATCAGTGAAGAGTCACTGCTGATGCAAATGGGCGTCACGGGATAATAAATCCCTGCTTCCCTGTGGTGCCTGTACAGAGGGGCTATTAAAAGCTGAGCACCTGAGGAGATCAGTGCAATGCCAATGTCCCTGCTTCCAGGCCACGCAGCTTTGTGTGAAGCCACCACAGTGAAGTAGCTCTAATTTGTCTTTATTAAGCCCTGCATGCCTTTTTGACACCGGAGCTACAAAACATGTGTCAGTAGTAATCAAAATGCCAGCATCGACGCTCAAGGCTTTATACTCCTCAAGAGTTTCCCCTGAGTATCCAAGATCAAATTTGCTCTACAGAGCATAGCTGAGGATTTCTCAAGTCTAATGCCTCATGAACCCCTCTGATCAGTATGCAAACACAGCACAATGACTGCATCCACTGCTACAAGTATCTGTCCTGACATGCAGAGGTCTCTGCAACACAGTGAATAGAATATTCCATGTACAGGCAGGGTTATTGAAGTGCAAGACCCGAGGAATCCATCAAAACTGGATTCAAAGCAAAGGACTGCCAATGCTGATTTATTTCGTTGTGTACAATAGAGTCATTTGGTGGGAAAACCCAGGCTGCAGGGTCACATCTTACTGTCACCTATCAGGTCTGTCACCAAGAACTGCACCCATGTGTGAGAGGGGAGACGTGGGCCACCCTTTGCTGCACCGAGCACATGATGGGTCGGGCAGGACGAGACTTCATTTTAAAACCATTCCAGCGTAAGGAAGACATCCCATTGCAAAGTGTCAGACTACAGAAACCTGAATCCCTAAAGATCTCTATAAACAACTGCAAGAGCCAAAATTCACACGGCATTTGTACTAAACTGGATATTCCACCAAAAATAGGTATTCCAATTGGAGCACACAGCTCTTCACAACAACACTGCAAAGCCCTTCTCAAAGGCTTGAAAGGCAAAATAAAGAACTGTCAGCCTAAAAGAGCAGAGCCACCATTGCTGTGCTTTGAAAAAAGAGAATCGTGGAAGTCACAAACCTAATGACAGCTATACACAACTATACTGAATAAACTGCTCCTACCGGGTACCCCAAGAATTAGAGCAAAATTAGGAAGAAGGGGAGGATAAATGTTGAATTTATAGAGGGACTTTTGACAAGGGCACATAGTGATAGGACAATGGGTTCAATCTTAAACAGGGGAGCCTGAGCTGAGCTCTTAGGCAGAAACTCTTCCCTGTGAGGGTGCTGAGGCGCTGGCACAGGGTGCCCAGAGAAGCTGTGGCTGCCCCATCCCTGGCAGTGCTCAAGGCCAGGTTGGACACAGGGGCTTGGAGCAAGCTGCTCCAGTGGAAGGGGTCCCTGCCCGTGGCTGGGGCTGGAGGAGCTTTAAGGCCCCTTCCAGCCCAAGCCTTGCTATGACTCTCTATGACTATGACTCTACTCTATGACTCTATGGTGAGCTGACAATCCCAAGATTTATCTATGCTGGGAGAACTTCAGAACTTCCAGAAAGGCATCAGCACGGAAGCCACAGCACCAGGCCACAGCACCTCACTGGGAGACATCACAGGACCGCCTGCAGCGCTCACCCAAGGAGGTGCATGTGGGTCAGAACGAGTTTGTTGGAGGAAAAAGCCAGGGACCCTGGAGACCTCAATGCCCTTTCAAACACCACATTTGCAAGCTAAAAAACCACCTTGTGACCTGGACTGCTTGGAAGCAGACATAACTGCTCATGGATCATTAAAATGTCAGCACTGCATCACTTTTTGGTTTCTAGCCCTTTTTTTTTGATCAGTATTTATATTGTGCTCGAAATACTCTGTTGTATTTAGAAATGAGAATTTCACAGCCCTGCTGGTATCTGTGATTCAGAAATGGAACTATTTGCACTGTGAGAAGGGTTTGCAGAATCCAATGACTATGCTGGCACACAGTCAGAAGAGCATGTTCACCCATCCTGGGGACTAGAAGGGCCCCTCTGCTGCCCTGAACAAGGTTCCTGCTCCACTGGGGCTTCTCTCCTGAGTTATTTCTGAGAAGTCAGTCGTGATTGCTCTGAAACTTTTCAAATGTATTTGAAAAATGAAACATTAAAATAGGACCACAGGAACAACGCATCAGGCAATCATCTGCATCCTGAGTGTTCCGGGCTGAACCCCATGGCCACAATGCGGTCTGCTGTCTGCAAGTACAAGTCAACCCATTCCAAAATGGAGCCTTCAAAGAAGGAAAGGCACCATTCAGCAGTGGGGTCTGTGCTTCTGACTGGTGGGTCAGGGACAAACCACAGGTAACTGTGAATAAAACCCCCCAAAAGTACTAAATGAAGAACAGGCTGTACCAAAATGGGCCAAGGCTGAGCAGCTAAGAACTGAAACATGAACTCCCATCAAGAGCCAGGTAGAACAGGAGTGATGAAACAAACACCCATACAAACCCCAAGCTGCCAGCAGCAGATCCCCTGTCTCTCGGTGCAGACTAACCGCAGCTTGCGGTACTGTGGGAAGGGCAAGCACAGGTAATATCTTTGCTGTAGGGATAACAAGGTTAAACTGAGCTGCCTGATAAAGGAGTGGGACTGAATTATTTAAACTTCCTTTCTGGCCATATGTGCTGTGAATGGCTGATAAGTGTAGGAAGAACTTGCTACTTTTAGATCTCTTGACTTTCCTGCTCCAGGGCCCTTGTCTCTCCTGCTGAGCAAACAGGAAAATAATGGGTTCTGCCTCTACCTCTGGTGCTGGCATGATGAATTACTTTGGGATAACCATTTAAGCTCATAACCCATCTTTTAAAATAGCCCTAACAATTCCATACACGTTTGAGAGGTGCTTTGGAAAACGGCAATGCCACGTAGACTCCATCAGCCTCTGCCGCAACATCACAGACTCCAGACCCAGAAAGGTCTGCGCAGGCAACACAATGATCAAGGTCTGGGGGATACAAGGACTGTGGCAATGCTGTGACCAGAGCTCTTGGACAGGAACCACTGCAGCTGGTGTCAAATGATGAGCTCATGTGCCATCAGTAGTGACCAGAGCTGCATGGGCTCGGAACCCAGCGGCACCGTGAGCTGTACCAAACTCACCAGAGGCCTTCAGGCACCCTCCCCACCTCAGGATGCTTTCAGGGAGTTTTCTTCCTAAGGGAATTCCTTGTTTCAGCAGTAAGTTTACAAAATTTTCTATCCGAGTAGAATTTTCTCTTTGCACCTGGTTTGGTCATTCATGGGTTTGGGAGAATTCTAAAATAATTCCAGCCCATGTATTTGCCCAACTTTGGGAAATCTGGTTTCTGTTCACTCCAAGCCACAGGGATCAGAGCTGTCAGGCCCAGACTCACACCACCAGCTTCACTCCTCCACCTCTGGAGACCAACTCTCCGATAAGGGCCCCCAGCACATTCCCCACCTTTGCTTTGCCTTGCTCTTTCCTGCCCTGCTGCTCCCAGACGCAGAATCCCTCCCTTGGGAATCTGCTGCCCTAAACACGACTTATGAGACCTCTCCATACACAGTCTCACATAGCAGCACTGAGGACCCTGTGAAAACTGAACCATTATTAACACCAGAAAG